TTTAAATTAAGTGAGTGTATGTGGCTTGCTATCAAAAGTTGGGGCGCACTCTTCTCACCAGTGCAGTAGCACATGTCTGAAGAGGCTAGAGGTGAGTCTGAGCACAGACAGCATCATGGGCTGCCACGGGTGGGACACACTAGTTGCTGGCAAGGGCCAGCTGCCTTGGGCAACCCAGTCCAGGTACTCAGTTACAGCTGCGTTGACTGGCCCATCCTCTGTCACAAGTCCACATTAAGGTGGAAGCTGCCACAGCTCACGTCAACAGCGGCTCTTTAGCAGGTCTGCCCTCAGCCTGCCACAGTGACCTGCAAGACTTAAAAATCCATTTTTAGAAGTCGAGGACAAATGCAGAAACCAAACAAATCCCAACTGACCAGTTGAACAACTCTTCTTCTAATAAGATATTAGTGCATACCAATTCTTTGCTAGCTCTCCACAGCATCCTGAACCAAGATGTGCTTTAGCAGAAATTGTGAGTTGGTCTGGCAACGTTATAACTTGAACACAGATATATGATTATATTTCCCCAGGCCTAGGCAGAAGACCTCAGCAGTCATTTTCAGGACTTTGCTCAGATACAGGTTCAACTTGCTTTCTATACAATGTAAAAGTAACAAAGAATCCACTGATAAATTTGCATACAAATATCCTATTTCTTTAAGCCACGAAAGGACTAAGATTAAGTACATAACAAATTAAACTCTATCTCTAGGGAGGCAGAAATCTCTAGTGTGCATCCTGCACAGTCTGTCCGTCTATTTTTATTTTTATAAATTTATTCATTACCATATTTCATTAATAACAGACCACTTGCGGTTTGGGTTTTAGGACCGTTAAAAGGCTGGCAGCAGGCAGTAGTTGAGTCATTTGTATAGAATAGTGCTGATAAATTGTGCTAGACTTCCTATATCAATTTAATCAGAATAGCCTTTAAAGTTCAATGCTTAGTGTCATTATAATAATCAAAGTTGAGACTATATATAAAGTCTTATTAAAATATTTTTCGCAGTTCTCTATTATATGCTCTTTATAATATGCAGTCTGTAATATGCCAGTCTGAACCTGCCTGGATCATTCTTTGATTTTTCATAAGTAATATAGAAAAATAAGCAACAGGGATTGTAGACTCTACCCTGTCTTCTCCCAATTAAAGAACATAAAATCTTAATTGTTACTTCTGATCTGACTAATGCTCTCCCTATTCGAGTGCAGTATTTCAGGTAGCAACCAAAAATATATGCTTTAAGAAACCACACAGGGAAGAAAGAATGACTTGTGCAGAGAAGACATTTTATTTTATTCTACTATTATTTTAATGTTGGGCAATAACCTGAAGCAGGAAGGCTTATATTGTGTTTTTAAGATGCTTTGTAATACGACTAGGTACTTGCATTTCCTGAATAAACAGCTCATCCTTTTCTGTATTCCTCCAGCCTTTTGGCTCCAGTAATAATGTCTGATAATTAGTTTCACTGGTGAAATGGGTGAAGGATTCCCTTTTAACCAAACTTTACGTGGTCATCTTTCTGTTTCCCTTCAGACTGTTATGTTTCATTGGGTGAAAAGATAACTGAGTGTGGCTGCGTTTCCTTCCTCAGATCATTCATTATTTTGTGCATCACTAACACATCTGCAGTTTGTCTCCCAGCATTGGAGAGATGAAATGTTTTCATTAGCATGAAGCAGAAGGCTTACACAGCAAAAAAAAAAAGAGAGAGAGGTATCTACTCAGACAGCCATGGTTCTCCTGCTCATCCGTTCCTTGGAGTTCAAGCCACCCAATGTCACGTGCTCAGATGCAGCTCTTGGGTCCTATGTGCCCTGAGGGAGAAGATGACTGAATCGTTGCCTTGAGATCTCTAAAGAAACTTGGGGACACCAGGGGGACACCTTGTTCCTTCTTATGTTTGCCTGCTCTCCACAGCAGTCAGACAGCTGTAAAACCTTTATTGCTAAAATTGCCTCCTTGCTTCCTCTTTAATCAGAATTCAGAAAAAAAAATACACTTTGCATAACAGGGAGAGAGAAAGAACAGATAGAAAAATCTGCCTGTACAGGGCATTAGATCATAAACTTTAACTCATCACCAATGCTAATAAAAGAAGTTTGGGAAAGGTGCCCCAGACAGCGTAAATCTACCTTGAACTATTGAGTTAAGCTTGACTTTTTTTCCCCATTTGTAGGCTTCTTTGGTCCTCTTGGTGAACAGTGTTCTTGCTTTTATTAATGTCTTCTATGCTAAAAGAAAAAAGCAAGAAAAGTGCAAAGAACATGCCAAGTGGGAAGACAAAGGTAGCTGAATAGAATTAAGGTTTTTGACTTGCCTTAAGTATGTATTTTCCATACATTCTTACTTTTTCTACAAGTAACACTGACTTCAAATATCGAAGTATTCTAAAATGTTTACAGACTTCTATTGTTAGTTTAGTTTCAATGAGCAAATTAGTTTAAGATTGGGGGTTTGTTTCTATAGGGAATGAATGCCTAGAGTCACAAGCTTACCTTGAGATTTTGGAGGGGGATGGAGGGTATGGGGTTTTGCTTGAGACTTTCTTTAGTTTTATTAAAAACATTTAGGATTCCTTACTAGTAAAAATAACGACATTGGTGATTTGCTTCAATAATATCTCTGTAGAGGGCAACAAACTAATCCCTGCCAGTTTTGTGGGTTTTTTTTTTAAATATACTAGAATTGTGTGCACCAGTTCAAAACCTGGCCAAAGTTTAGGAGCCTTGCTCAGCAAGACCCTGAGATGGATCACCGTCCAAAGTCCTCAGAGAAATCTGCTGTTATTTGCTGCTCTGTCACAACCAGTTTTGCTCAAAAACATCATCTCCTCTTTCATCTGGTAGCTCATACTGTGTCAGGTACAGGACTACAGAGTAAACTACAATGACGTGCTGGTGACACAAAACTGGGAGGGGTGGCTGACACGCTAGAAGGCTGTGCCACCACACAGAGGGTGCCAGGTAGATGGGAACAGTCTTTTTTCAGTGGTGCTCAGTGATAGGACTAGAGGTAATGGGCACAAACTTGAGCATAGGAAGTTCCATCTAAATATGAGGAGGGACTTCTTTACTTTGAGGGTGGCAGAGCACTGGCACAGGCTGCCCAGAGAGGTGGTGGAGTCTCCCGCTCTGGAGACATTCAAAACCCTCCTGGATGCCGTCCTGTGCAACCTGCTGTAGGTGACCCTGCTCTGGCAGGGGGGCTGGACTAGATGATCTCCAGAGGTCCCTTCCCACCCTGACCATTCTGTGATTCTGTGATGTAGTAACTAGCTGTCTATATCAACCCCAGTATTATAATGCACTAATACAGATTACAGAAAGCTGGGTGGTTAACCCGTAATGACTGTGTTTTCATTAAATCTATTTTTTTCTTATTTTCTATATCATAAAAACAAAGTTTATATTTGCAGTTTTCTATTTTTCTCCCCTTATCTAAAAGCATGGGGTTTCAGACCCAAATGTTACTGGGATGTTCACTGTCATTAATCCAGCTCTCTGGAACTGTAAAGGGCCCCTGACAAGGAGCACAGGCAGCGACTTAGTGCTCCACCAATGTAGACATTTAAGGAGCGTGCTTAAGTGGATCTCTCTCGAGTTCAGCAAGGCTGAAAACAGACCCAGAATTAACAGTGCGCGTACATCTTTCACTGCATAGACAGCATCCAGACTGTTACATCCATGGATTCAGTTATAAATTTAACCCTCAATATAAATAAATCTAGGGCATTTTCTTACTTTTTCCTGTAAATACAAGGATCTCTCTTCACTGCATTAGGAAGTCTTGGGAGAACTGTAGTAGAATATTTATAGAGGGGACCCTCTGGACTTCAATAGAAACATCAGTGTATTTTTAACGCAGTGTATGGAGTTAACGTAAGCTTAGTATTTCCTCTTCTAAACTCCTTTATCAAGGCAATTTTATTTCAACATTTGAGAGTAAGCTGGAGGAAAGTAGGGACAACTTAAGCCATTGTAACTCCTAAAAATTCTTTTAGTATTTATGGACACCTGTGTAAGTTGCTGGATTGAGCATTTCTCTGTCTGCTTGAATTAGGAATCAGCAAAAGATCCGTGTTAATGGCATAGTCTTAGGAGCTACTGAAACCAATTTTATTTTAGACAAGCTGGGATAGATACCGTGCAGCTACACTTCTGTGAAGGGTCTGAAATGATAGCAGTACTCATTTTCTCATCACCTGTTGATGCAGTGGTTCCTGACACCTTCCCTCCCCTGCACTTCATCTCCACGTGTCACCACAGTTCACTGCTGATCTCAGGAACAAGCGATGTGGGAAAGAAGGCAACTCACTCATTGGTGGCAGAGGTCTGAAATTTTAGTGCATTACATAGTTTCTAAACGCTGGATGCTCTCTGTGGAAGACATGAGATCGCTTCTTTGCATCCTAAATGCTGCATGTTCCCTCTAGCAGAGCTGCCTCATATCACACATAAGCTGCTGGTTCTTTACCACGGTATAGATGGAAGCAGCAGCAGTAGCTGGCGGTGCTGGCCCTGGTCTAACATGTCCCACTTTTCTCCCTCATGCCTGCATGCCCCTTCTCTCACACAGTCATTGCTGTTTAAAATATCTTCTACTCCAATCTGAAATTGTGTTTTGTAAACCCAGAGCAGGAAATCCAAGTAGTGCTCCAATATTTGGACTAGCTATCTCCTCCATAATATTTCCTGTTTTCCCCTTTTCATTATACATTTCATTAACTCTACAAAGCAGAGTTATTTTCCTCCTTTACACTGATAAGAAGCTGGATGTATTCCATCGGGTTGCCAGAGAAGCAAGACTTGGGGATGTTTTAAACTATTATTTTATTTCTGCATGAGGATAAGAGGACAGTTGGGCATTTCTAGGACTTTCTGTGGGATCTTTGTCCAGTCTCTTTTTAGGGCACTCTGGGCACCACCCTGCAGGGGCTGAGGCCAGGTGCAGAACTGGGGACTGATAATGGGGTCCATCAACAGTCCCCAACATGGCCGGTGATGAACCAGAGCCAGGGGCCGTCCAGGGGCCCCAACCAGGAGCAAAAGGGAATGAGACCAGGGACACAGCTGGACACAAGCTACAACATGCATTCAAGGGGTCCATCCAGGAACCATGGCTGGAGACCAGCACTCCTGTGGTGCCACTGGAGCAGGGACTGATGACCCCGAGCTGAGCTTAAATGGGGTCCTGGGCCATGGGCAGGGATGTGGAGAGGCCCGAGGTGGGGCTGGCAGGGTCGGGGCCCCCGGGTCTCCCCTCATGTAACTTTGGGTCACAGCAGGACCCAGTGGTCACTGTTCTGACTTGGTAGTGCAAAATCTTGCATTTTATTCTTACCACTGAACACCACTTTGCTGCATGTTCATGAACATGTTTCTGTTTCTCCATCCATAAAAGGAGGACGACATGTCTCATTGGGAAGGCATGGGGCTTAGTTGCTTACTGAAACTTTGCATAACAGATATGCTTCCTAAGCATTGTTAATTAGTTGTTACATTATTTATTGCTGAAGAAATGTAAAACACTTTGAGGGAAATCTTGGCCCTGTTGAGAGAGCAGGAAAATCTCCTTTGCTTTTCCTAGGGCAGAGATTTCAACTCTCATGCCAATAGCATATATCAAGAGGGAATCACTCTATGCTCTTGTCCTTAGTTATGTGCCCTTGGAAGATGCTACATGAGTAAGTTTTTAGGCACATTACATCTATGCATTAAAGCATTTTCCAAAATTCAATAGTCACATCACTTTCAAAACAAAAGAAAAACCCTAACAAATACAATACACCCAACTGTGCACACATTTCTTCTCAAAGAAAGAGGGTGAGCAAATAAACACATGGTGTATTTCACTGGCACTGCTGACAGCACTGTTGGAAGGTGCTCAGAGATCGTTATGAGGATCTCAAGAGAACAACTTGATGGAACAGAAAAGTGATGCACTAAAGAGCATTAGAGAGATTCCTACTGACCGCAGAAGACTTCAGATCAGGCGAACACAATCTGTGTCTTGTACGGAGACTTAAAGGCAATGCTGACAAACACGTAATCTGAGTCTGGACATATCCATATGGAGAAAGTAGAGTGCCTAGGTCAGTACTTTATGAATCGTCCTGACTATATCTGTACAAAAGATTAAACTTGTGTGCCTTTAAAATAGCAACACTATATACATTTATAGTTTCTGATTGCTCGGTTATTTTGAGTACTCTACTTAAGTAACATATTTATTACTGGCCTATGTCCTCAAACTTCCTCAAAAGAGCATAAAGCAAGAACTGGATTGCAATATAAAGTTATACATAATGTTAAAAATTAGTAGGATTTATAGAATGTAACTTTGAATCTCAACAGTCATCTGATCTGCCTTCAAAGCCAAGATAAGACCATCTATGGCTATAGCATTCCCAACACAAAGCTATTTAACTGTTCTATGAAAAAATGCAGTAATGAAGATCTCTAACCCGCTCCAGACAATCTCTTCTGCTGTTCTTATTGTTCAGCAAGCTGCCTAACCTAAATTTCCTTTTGCTGTAATTCAAATCTGTTATTTTACTCATCTCCCAGCGGATCTCATGGAGGAAAGTCTATTGCTGCCTTTCTGCGCTTGCCACCGAACCAGGTTTTCCTAGCTCATTTATGAGAATCTCATAATGTCAAAAGGCTTGCTAAGATGCAAAGATATGATATCTACTGCTTTTTCCCTCTCTACAAGGCTTCTTCGCCTGTCAGAGAAGGAAAATAAGATTAATTAATTATGATTTGTCCTTGACAAGCCCATGGTGATTGTTGGTTACGACCATACAAATTTGAAGTGCTAATGGGGAGAATCGTTGATTGTCTGTTCTCAGGTTTATTTTGTTCAGTCTATCTAGAAATTCTTTACATGGCCTTCCTGCTTTGAAAAGGTTTAAACTGTGCTTGCCTTTTCCCTGTCCTGTGAACTCAGTCTATTCTCAACAGTTTTTCAAAGATCATTGCTAACAGATCTGGTATCAGCTACACTTCATGGAATTTGCCAAAAAAGCATTTATCTTACCCAAGAAATTCTCTAGCCTGTTATGTCTCATAATAGCCTGTGTTCCTACACCTTTTTGTTGCTGTTAGTAACCTGTGATCAGATTAGGATGACTTGGAAGTGAGAATGAAAGCAATAAAAATCCATCTTTCCCAGCGTATTCTATTATCAGCTTTCTTCTCTCCATTTTCCTGTTCATCAGTTATCTTCCTAGTTCTGCAGAATAATCTTTTAGCCGGGCTGAATTATTTCAAGCCCAGCAATCATCTTTTCTGCAATTAGCCCTCTTCACTTCAGAGTAATGTGAGCATTTTGTTCAGACTTGTTTTAGAATATGGATCTTGGCTACCTCTGCGTTCCTCTCACAGCTGATACTTGACAATCTGCTTCTACTGAGGCACTTGATATGACATTCTTGCGTGTAACTCACTGACTGCATTTCATAGCCAAGGCCTCAGTGTATGTGAATATCTCCCTGTGCCATGTTACACAGGAGCGTGCACATCAGACACTGGGTTCACATTGCCACCTACTCCTGTCCCCCTCAAGGCTGCCTCATTTAGCAGCTCATGTGAATCAGCTCATCGCTCATGGCCTCTTAAAATTCAGCCTCTTCCAGCAAATCAGCTCCTCTTTGATCATCTAGCAATTTCACAGGGCCCGTCGCCAGTTCCAGCTCTGCCATGCTAATAATCCTTGACTACAGCACTCATTTGTAATAATCTCAAAATGATTGGTTTTAATTGATTTCAGGTTTTGCAACAGAACAAACTGAAGTAGATGTGCTAACATGTTTTATAATCTGAAAAAGCAGCGGTAACTTTTCTGATGGTGTGGGAGAGATTCAGAACAAAAAGGGATAATCTGCATTTTGTTTCATTTTCCTGCTGCCACTTGGGGAAGAAATAGGTTCTGTTTGCACAAATCCAGAGAAACTAATTGCAGTGTTAGTTAAATACTACAGTTGTAGGCTTGGAAAACAACTTCTGCCATAGCTGTCATGGACTGTGGTGGGTATATGGTGCCCAGAGGTTTTTCACAGGTTACCTTCAGAGCCTGACCCTTTTCCCTTTTTCCTCTCTACAGATTATTAATTCAGTGGTATTGCTGATTCTGCTGAGCGCCCTCACTGACCCTGACCAGTACCACCTAACCAGTGCTGAATTAGGGGGTGAATTTGAATTTATGGATGATGCCAGTAAGTAGAAACTGCCTAATCAGCAGCATTCATTGCTCCAGCGTTTATGTAACTGTCCTATCATTTCACTAATTACTGTCCTTTAATTATTGCTTCACCTTGGTATCTTACAGGTGCATTTTTATTAGTAATAAATATTAGTAATTGATGTTAGTAATATTTTTATTAGTAATCCATCTGCTCTGCTGTGTCGGGGCTTGGCAGGTGCAGAGCCAACCCTTGACATGGAGATTATCCCTGAGCATGATGCTGAAAGCCCCAGGGCAATTTTGCAAGCCACGGGGAGATATGGAGTCTCTGCAAGTCCCAGCACCATGTCCCGTAGTGCCTGCACATGCATCAGAAGCCACAATGCTATTTGTGTAACTGGCTGAATGTGTTCATTCATGTTGTACATATTTACACACACCCCATGTGCACATGGCATGACTTGCACAAAACTGTTGTGATAGATGCAAGTATAAATATTAGCTTTATAGTCATAGGCATATATATTAGTGATAGCACAGGGCTGCTTCCTTCTCTCACCGAAGGATATCATAGAGAATCTTCAATACAGTTTCAGGGAAGGGTGAGCCAGGACATTTATGTCTCCTGCAAAAACCTCCTGTCCTTTGCAAATGTTGCTTTCTTCCATGACTGTTTCAAATTATTTGGTGATGTGTGGTTTGTTGATTTGCTTTAACCATTTAATTTGTATATGGAGAAGTTTTCCCCCAATGTGATTTTGATAAAAACGTCTGTTTATTTTTGCTTCTGCTGACAAAATTGTTACGATGAGCATTTCTCACAGTAGTCTGAAACAAGGTCTCCTGCTAGTTACACTGGTGTCTTGCTGCTCAGAAGCACACACATCCACAGCAAAAGGCTCAAAGTTCTCTCCTCGTTTTTACTGAAGTCAATAAAAATATCAGTAGGAAAAGGAATAGCCCCACACGCGAGAAAAATAATTGCACCCATGGTGTATCTGAGCTGCTGGGTATCAGTTAAGGGATGCTTATTTCTACAAGGTCTTTAGTGCAGATACGCCTTGAGGGTTTACATTTCATTAAAAATAAGGGGCAATTGCGACTTTATTGTGTCTTCATTGTAAAACCACCTACAACTTCCCACTAAAAATCTTTTTATATAACTGGATTTAAGAAAGTAAGGACCATAGTAGATACAGATGGGCTCCTAGCTTGTTCTGACATATTAAAACTGACTGCCTTGTCCTAATTCTCAGAGATTAACCTTGGTAATGACTGTCTGTCAGTGTGGTTTTATATAGCCGACATCAGAGGCCTGCCAGTGCCCAAGGCTTTAAAATAGTAATTCTGTTTTGTAATGCAATAGCTGTCAGATCAAGTACATTGGGGATTTCCATCTACACTTGAAAATTGTATTTTCTATATTTTTTTATCAAGGCTTCTGAAGTGAACCCTGCAAGACTGTAAAAGGATGTCTTGTGGGCCAAGCGACCTCATTTCCATTCGGTAAAGGGTACATTTCACAGACAGTTAAATTACGAATGAACATTTGAATTAATGTCTCCTTTTATTCTTTTACTCCCTCTGGTTTAATGCCTTACTGAGTAAAGGCAGCTCAATCAAGCTATTGGCTTTTATAGGTACTGGAAGTAGCTGGCAGGAGATTTTTTCCTTTTTTTTCTTTAAGTATGACTATATTTGTTCAAATCTGAGGAAATGTTTTCTTATGAGATAAAACATCAGACAAACCTCCACATGCTCTTCTCTTGTCCTACTTTTATTTATCATTTTTGAGGAAATGTTTCCCAGGTTAGCTGCATATCGTATATGTGAAACCACGTGTACAAAATACAGGAAGATGCATTAATTTTTATCCTAATTAAGGTCCCAAAGTTGTTATCTATATGTACTTGTGTTGATCAATAATAATGAGGGTAATACTAGTAGCCATTATTACTACCTTTGATGCTACTATCAATAGCAAAAAACAAAAAAAAATGCAGACACAGACTTTGCATGTAAAATTGTCACTCCCTTTCCCTCCCTTTATAAAAGGTCTGAAAATATCGACTGAAAATAAACGTATCAGCTGAGTCGCAGTAGTGGACTTATGGCTAACTGGAAGTTAATGACAAGTTTCCCGTGACTTCCAAGAAACCAGGATTCCCCCAATATTTGTATTCATATTTATTTATGGCTTGATTTGAGGAGAATTTTCAATTTTCTGTTCCAGCAGCAGGAAAAATTCCTGCCACGTGCAGAGCCAGAGCCAGTCTAGTGCAAACTGCTTGAAAATGCCAGTGCAACATCAGTTCTTCTGTGAATGGCTGCTCAGGCTTAATTTCAGGATTTAACGTGGTTCCCAGGGCATTGCCAGAGGCTCCAAAATGCCTGTCTGATTAAGTAGAGAAAGGATTTACCTGAGCACTTAGAAAAAAGCTGTAGGTTATAGCTTTTCCCTCCTATTCTAGAAAAGGAAACAAGGGGGGGAAAAGTCTGCCGAGACTTGCCATGCGGCAGATGGAGGTACGGGAAGACACCAGTGTGTGTGGTTTGGCTAGCTCTCCGAGACGTGCATCTGGGAGCTGGGGAAAACGCTGGGTTTCCTCCTGTGCTGGATATTCAGCTGAGCCCATTTAGTCTCATCTTTCTTTTTATTATTTCCTTAGGGCCTGAGGGAGTTTATGAACTAGAAGCTGCACTAGGAAAAATTAGAAACGTGTGAGCTCCCCAATGTAATACTGCTGCTGTTAAAAGAATAATCATCTCTGGGCAGGAGATAGAAAAGCCCTATAAATCATTTTGACTTCCCAGAGCGTTTCACCTGAGCCTCCTGCTCAGCTTCTCCAGATACACAGACCATGGTCCTGACAGGTCAACAGCCCAAACAAGCAGTGGATGTTGCTTGGCTTTAATTAGTACCTTTACAGCGTCACACATGTGTGTGATACCTCATAAGCCGTATGACAACAAGGACTGATATCCTGTGTGTGCCCTTTCAAAACTGAGGGGAACTTTGACACTGATGTCAGCAACTCTGATCAAAATCCACCTGTGTCCCTACCCTGGGACAGGCAGATGAGACAAGCAGAGGTCTCAGGGCAGGGCAGGATAATGTGATGAGTGGTCTCTCTGCTGAATGTAACATGCATACAGGGCTTAAAAAGATAATTTCAAGTAGAAAAAAATTAATAAAGAAACCTACAGACAGCAGGCTTGGACTTCTCTTGGGGGGTAAATGGAAGTGGTAGAGCAGGTACCCTTCCTGCCCAAATCCATCAACTCTACCCATGTAGCGTAAGCCCCATGTCACAGGGAGGGGGTAAAAACTATATCCCTGCTCCAATGTGGCTTATTCAGAGCTGGATCTTCCCCTCTCACCTTACCCTCTGGAATAAATGAGCTGGGCTTAAAGGTGCAGAAAACTCTTTCCTTCTCATTGGCCTCCTTTCTTTGCCAGAGAGAAAATGCCACTGCCGCATGGGTTGTGACCCAGGAGGTTGCACAGCTGCTGGCATCAGCGGCATTGAGCTTGCACAAGCAGCTTGGAGGAGAGACCGAGGCAGTAATCCTTAGCTGGTGGTAAGGAGGCCAGGCTGCTGAATAAATAAGGCTAGGAGGGTGGGCAAAACTGCCTGAGGATTGCAGGCTGATGACCAGCAGCTTTCTGGCCCCTGCCATCGGGACTGTAAGCCAGCGATTAACTCCAGGGCTGGGGCAGGTGATGAGCTGGAGGATCTGAGGTCTCCATCACTCCACACAGGTCTTGGCTCAGGGACTGGCCTGGCTGGCTCCTACTCCCCTCTCCACAGCACCCACCACCAGCCTCCTCTGCAAGAGGAAAGGGGAAGGCAAGGAAATGCTTGTGAGATGAGTTCAAGGGAGCTCCAGCTGCAGAGCTTGACGTGCACGCAAGCACCCCATGGCAGGAGCTCTGCCCAGCCCTAGCAGCGTCTTCTCCCCAATGTGACAGGAAGGTAGGATCTCACTGCAAGGTATAAGAGGAAAAAAACCCAACTGGTTTATTTAAACTCAAAAACCTGTCTATGACAATAGGCCGTATAACCACTGCAGTGGTCCATGTACAGCCCTTCTCTCCACGGATGCCATGGAAAGTACAGCAGGGCTGGAAAAAAATTCACACGCCCCTGTTAGCTTCTCATTTAATGTGCTACATATCTAGTTTCATTCTGATTAATTGAAGCCAACACATCTCAAAAAACCCAGTGAAGCCTCAAATGAGAAAGAACCAGCTTAAGCCAACTAGGACTTGGCACGGCGGAGCACAGCTAGAGAGACACCGGAGACGGGGAGTATGACTGGGTCATACCAGAGCTTCAGTGTCAAGTTTATCGCAGTTTGCTAAGCTCTGGCTCTGAACCAGTACTGCCATGGTCATGAGCAAAGCGAGCCCTGTGACTGCTGCATCTGCTGCAAACGACAATGACAGCAGCTTCCCCTCAGACACAGTGAGTAGGTGATTGGGATTAGGAAGGGACAGAACAAATGCATGTGCAGTGCCTTCAAACTGGTGGCTAAAATAAAAATATTGATCCAAGACCCTTTTTTTTTACAAGAGGTTCAATTGAGGTTAGTGGCTACAGGCAGCCATTTCCACTTCTTCTCTTTCATTACCTCAATTGTACCTGGTCTATTCAAAATCATTTTGATTTCACAGGATGTGTGTGGGCAGCCAGAGTAAATGACCGCACAGTTAAGAATGTCTGAAGAGGCTGCAATACCTTTCATTAGTAAAGGTTTGTTTTGTGGGTGCTTCTTCCTCTTGAGGGCAGAATTCAGATCACCTCTAACAGGCACAGCACAACCTTACAGCTCCTAAAAAGCTGGTGACTGGTCACGGCAATGCAGCTCAGACACCTGTGCTGGATGTCTGGATTCTCTACGCAGTCAAAGAGGAGAAGGAGGTGCCTCTGAAGAGCAATTTGGGATGAAGAGCAATTTGGAATGCACTGAGATGTCACCTCTTCTTGAATTATGAGCAGGGAGCCCAGCTGCCTCCCGATGGCATTTCCAAGTCCCCGCAAGTCGAGCAACACAAAGCCACCGGGTAGGAAGCAGTGAGCGCAGGGGTGCAGCTACCCTCAGTGCTGAGTGCTGGTGCCTCTCCTGGGTGAGATCTGCTTATTTTGACAATAAGAAAAAGATTCAAGCATTTGCACTCTGAGTAAGGACATCCAGACTCCAGGCCCTCCATCAGACTACAGTGGTTTAAATGTGCTCCTCCAAGTACCCAGGAAAGAGGCTCCATCCATTAAATTAGGAAGTAGCCTGCAAGAGGGCATCTTCCATCGCATTTGAGTACTTGTGCAATCACAAGGACAATATTTGGGGGCGAGAGAGAGAGAACAAAAGTCCTGAAACCCAGGACACAGGCAGTGTTCTGGAAAAGGGGAGACCTGGGTTCCTAACTCCTTAATCTTGCTGTTGGTAGGCATGGTACCCAAGGAGCCTGTAGCCCAACATATGTAAGCACGCTCTGGAGGCGCCCTCACCAGCCAGCAACAGTCACTGCTTGGTCATTTTTCCACTAGCTTCACATGTCTCATGTTCCTCTCTGCATCAAGGGCCAGCAGAAATCTGGATCGGTGCCAGCAGGAGCTCTGTGCTAGTGCAGGGTTTGTGTTCCCTCCGGCAGAGGAGGATCAAGGACTGGGTCCTTTGTCTTCTACATGGATAATTGTACTGGTAGGCTGGAAAAAATGGCAGACAAGACTTACTGATTGTCCTTCCTTTTCAGCTATGACCCAGGTGAACCTGCACTGCTGCCTGGTGGTGGTAGGTGAGACCTGTCCACAGCTAGCCCATCAGGACCTTTCAGGGACTTTGATGCAGGCTCCAGGGCACCTACTCGGAACCTCATTTTGATGCAGTCAGGGAGGTGGAGGGACTGTCCCATGCTGTGTGATGCTCCTCGTCACATGCTACAGTTAGATATTGTGGCAATTCTGTGATCAAATGGAAACATCTTCACATTTTGAGTGCCTCCAAAGTCAGGCAGTGATGGGTAGTGAACAGATTAAACACTGTCATGTATTTGTGTTATTCGTGTGTCTCAAGTCCATCAAATGTCTCTTCAAGGCAGTTAGTTTAAACGCACCTGGTGACAGCAATGTGACCAGCAGGTTCCTCACAGATTTGGACAGAGGTGGCATGTCCTATATGCCTCAAGTCCTCTCTCCTCTGTGCACTGGCTTAGTCTTGGAAAAGAAGTTGCAACATTCAGTTGCATTCCCAAATTCACTAAGGTCGGGTTCAGAAATACACTTCTGGTATCCTGACTATGGCCTGTAAGGACATCAAGGGATATGTATATGAAAAGACCAAACACATGTAATTTTCCCCCCAGGATCTCCTTCCAGCTGTTTGTGGCTTAGAAACTTCTTAAATCTAATGAAAAGTTAATTGAAAGCTGAGCAGCAATAGAAGAAAAAGATAGGAGTCCTGTAATTACTCCAATCAAAACCTTAAAGAATATTTTCCTTCCTTTACTACTTCACCTTTCCTGAGGGTTATAAATCTTCATTAATAAATGGTATATCTCTGTAGTATTCTTGGTTGAAATGGAAATTTCCAAGATGATATTTCTGCTCTAAGATGCCTCTACCTGCCGGTTTTGCTTTTAAAAACTCATTTCTCCTTTTTCAGAGTTTTTCAAGATACGTGAGCAATGGTATACAACAGCTATTAGTGCAAGAACAATAAGCAGTGCAGAAAAGCAGACACATTCTGATGACAGATGTCATCATCACCAGCAAAATAGTCTTCTTGTCAAGACTGCTTCTGATTTTTTAAAATCTCCAGAAAAATTGCACCATTCATGGCATCTCCACGGCCTCATAGAGGCTGCAGAGGCTTGCACAGTGTAATCACTGTCTGTGCTTCTCATATTTAGGAGGTTTCCCACAAGAGCCAGAGATTTCCTCCAGCAGTGGTTGAATGATGCACCTGACCACATCTCTACCCACTTCCCACTCTGCCCTTTGAGATGCTGTGCATGAGGTAGATGGCAAAATAACTGAACCAAGCTCTGAATTTATCTGCAATCATTTTGATGTGTTTCTCTTCCAGATATGTGCATTGCCACAGCAATTTCTCTTCTTATGATTCTGATCTGTGCAATGGCTACGTATGGCGCATATAAGGTAATTCACTATATTCAGTGAAGGCATGAATCAAGTGAACTATACAACTTTGTAGAAACAAAATTAAGAAAATTGCTTTCTAACAATTTCTTGTTTAGTTGCTTAGCTGAAAACTGGGGGGGGG